GACGATAAAAACTTCCAAACTCCCAAAACAAACTTTAAACTTCAACAAACGTGGATCTACTCCTAATCTCGCAAGACGCTGATTTCAATTTTCAAACAAACGTAGTTCCGCTCTGAACTTGGCAAAAAGCCCTTCCTCTTCTCAGTCCGTTCTATTTAAGGTGGAAACCCTTCTTACAAATTAAACTAGCCAATGATATGCAGTTGACAACAGAAAATTTCCCCACTAAGGTAAGTTAAACTAGAGATAGAAATTATTTTTATAATCAATTTTTAACCGACATTAAGAGATAACACAAAATTAAAATACTAGGAAAATAGAATTTTCTATCTTTTAAATATGTACAATGAAAAGGCGATAAATAACATCCACCTGTCAATTAAATTAAGCGTTTACAATGATAACAAAATAAAAGCGATATAAAATTCTCAGAAATCTACGTTAAATAAAATCAAAAATGAGATTAAAATGTAAACAATACAAACCCTGACCTCTTTTTCGTAACAATAATTTCTGTTGAAGTACTTAACGAACGATACAAAACAAAAATTTAAATTAAGAAAATTAATTACATTGAAACAGGAAACCGCCCTTGTCCATTCTAGTTAAGGATCCCAAAATTTCGTCCTGCCAGACAAAATAACACAGCAATATATATATATATATATATATATATAAATATATATATATATATATATATAATATTGTTAGCTTGTAACTGCCAGGGTGTATCAGTTGGCCTTATAAGTGAATTATTAAATTATGTGTTTGAATTCTTATGCGTTATCGCCAAAGCGGCGATAAAACATAACAGTCTCCAGAACTAAGTTCGTTATATGTCTTAGCCTTTCCTCTTGGCAGGTTCGATCTTTTACAAGGTTCCTGCTTCGGTTCCTTCTTTTCTTTAGTATCTGGATGGAAAATCTTCCTTTTGTAGCCCTTTTTAAGAGAACTCTGTTTTGCTATTTTCTTGTTTGCCTTCTCCACTAAAGTTGTTTTATTTGGTCGACTTATCGTTTATCGAAACGTTGTTTATTTCATGAGCTTCGTTTCTTCCGTGGAGTTCCGCTGGCTCAAAATCTTCTTGTGTGAACACATCTGGATTATAGGGGCAAATTCCAGTAGCGAGGAATCCCTTAATTGCCTTCTCTGGAGTCGTTACCCTTACAAAGGCGTTACTAAAGAGTTCTGCAATTTCAAACGGAGTAATTCTCTCATGCGGATGGTTTTTTAAAAATTTGCTGCACTCGGTGTTAAAGGCGGTTTTTAATCGGCCATAGAAACTCACATCTAGGGGTTGGAGTCTATGGGAACTGTGTGGCGGTATGATTAGTAGTATGATCCCGTTGGTCTTGCAAAATTCGTAAGCTTGCAAAGTGAAATGTGTGGAGTGGTTGTCCATTAAAAGTAACACTGGATCATCTAGAGTTGCTTTGACAAATTGCTGAAAATGCTTCAAATATTGCAAAAAAATGTCTTCTGTGATCCAGCCCTTTTCAGAGCAAGAATAAAGGTGGGCCACCTTTTTGAAGTGGATTCATTCGCTTCCGACCGTAAATAAACATCGGGGGTACAAACATACCCGACGCATTAACTGCACAAACAACTGTTGTAAACAGAACGGGGTTCTGCCTTCGGGTAGCTCCAGCCGGCTGGCCAGTGATCGAAATTCGTATTGATTGAAATTGTTTAATTAATAAAATAAAATAAATTAAAAAATTCAAATATTTAAATCCCGATGTTGGGTACGGAGACACCTCCACCGTCTGTCAAATCCCCGGTTGACCTTGGGGTCTGGTAGGGCGTTTTCTTTTCCCCAACTGGACACGTGCGGTGGATGTGGCAAGTGCTACTAGTTCGCTGTAATGATGAAGAGTTATTACCACATAAGCCCGGATGCTTATCAAGGCTCGAGGAGGTATCAGGTAAAGGAAGTATAGGAAGCTTTCTCCACCAGTTATATTTCAGGTGTTCTTCAGCAAAGAAATAACCCGACCTGAGTTGACTTGAACAGGAAGTAATAGCTCTCGAATAAGGTCGGCAAGGATTTACCTGGCGACGGCCCTTACAGAGGAACTTCCACCCGGTTCCAACAACCTCTACTCAAAGTCGGTGGAATCAGACGGCAAACACGGAAGGGAAGCTCTTTGGATTCCAGTCCGGTCGACCGACCGAAGGCAAGAATACAAAGAACTAGTTCTGTGTCCGGTTTTATAAGCCCGCAGGGATTTACCCTACCAGGATTATCTTCCCGGGAACAGGTGAGTAAAACGGCAAAACTAAAAGTAATTATCAGAAACGGGCAGGAGCCTGGTTCTGGTTCGGGGGATGATTTTTAACAAGGAACGGAATTAATCGGAAGTGCTCTCTGGTACTTTACAAACACCTTTTATAGGACACACAACAAGGTGGGAGATGTAGAAGGGATTGCAAATAAAGGATGGGGACGACAACAGGCGACATCTAACGAGGGGATTTTACAAAACATAGTACAGGATGTTTCACAAATAAAATTCCAACGTTATCAATTTGATGTTTTCTTACACTGTTTTATTCCTCCCCCGCTCCCAACTGGTCACGAATCCCACTTGCTTCAAACCTTTTTTCGTATTTTACCTGGTGTCTGTACCGTTGAGATGCCTGTCTCGTCGGTATTGAAGATTCTGTGCGACTTTAAAATTATATTTACTCAAAACCTGGTCCAAATTATTAAAAAATATGGTAACCTCCTCTTTATTAAAAGCGGTAATTCTATTAATCGATGTTGCTTCAGGTTTACGTAAAACCACCGATGGATTGCGCTTCAGGAAGTTCCAAAGCCAATCATCACCTGCAGATTTTTTATTTTTGTTGAAAGGACAAGTAATATTATTTATTTCGGCGAATAGATAAGCGCACTTCTTGATCTCTTCCCTTGAAATGCCGTGGAAGGGTTTTGACAGATGTATTACATGTTCTGCCAATTGTTTTTCTTCATCAGCTGAATATACGGGGGCACGTCGTAGAGAGGGTTCAGAGACACGATTTTGTTTCAACCTTTTTTGAAGAGAACTTCTAGGAATGTTAAACGCTCTGGATACTTCTCTGATACTTCTGCCATTTTTTAAGGCAGTTGTAGCAGCCCTTAATTGATCAGCGGTCCAGGAAGCCTTTGCCGTTCGTCGACAAAATTTTCTCGGCATCTAAGAAGAATGAATGTGAAAATGTGCATCGAATATGGGGTAATGGTGGCCGGCCCCCGAATCCACAAGTTTTTAATTTGCATACCTTTTTCTACTGATTGCGTATTTGTACGTCGTTGTGGGCGCGGAATTGTATTTCCATCGTAAAGATCTTTACCCCCGTACATTTTTTTTATTTAACTAAAATAAGAAACAAAATAAAATTTAAAAAACAGGGTTTGATTTGTTTTAACATTGCAACGGGAGGAATTACAAATTCTACAAATAATGGACAAGGACAATCCGAGGGATCCTGATCTAAAGTAACTGTTACTCCCCAAGCTAGCAGGTGTGGGTTTAATTATAGGGTGGAAAGGATCAGGGCGCCAAGAGCGTACAATATCGAGTAATTCAGTTATCGTGGTGACTGTCTCCGCTCTAAAAACAATTGTTTGTAGGACAACTCGGTTATTACAAACAAGAAATAAAACAACAATAAACGGGAGGGTTTTTATATTGGCAAATAAATTCCCTAGTTTAAATGAGGAGTGATACACCAGGACGCAACGGGCTACACAAGGTTCTATAAAAATAGTTACTGTACTGCAAGGGCACAAGGGGATACGAGAAAGATCTTTCTTTTATCTTTGCTACCCAATATGTCACCTAACCTAGGGTATGCAAAACTCTTGTTGACGCTTCACAAGTAGGTGATTTGACTATACGTTCGAATGAGTCGCAGTAGTTCAGACGGATGACTATATAAAAGTTGTAGTTTTGTATACCTTGATACAACCTCTTAACAACAGGGACGTTATAATTGAAATTTACATAAACATTAACATTATTAAATAGGAAGACACGAAATGGGAACAATAGACGACACAAACAGGAAACTTCTGACCTTTATTGGCTGGTCACCTTAGCAGGTGGTACTAAATCGAGGGGTAAGCTTTATCTGCAGCCTCCTACTCTTCTTATCGAATGTTGTAGCAGCCAGATAGAGGATTAGATATGCCTGAGGGTTTGTTGATCAGCCGAGAGATGTTAAATGGTCGTTGGTTATTCAGCGTATAAAAAAAGAAGCTAAAAGGTACTAAGTCAACTAAATGTGGAACAGGTTATTAAATATTTACCTCGCAGGTGTTACGAGCTTCTTAACATGTGCACCGATATTTAATCCGCCGAAGCGAAATATAGCTCTACCAAAAATATTACTAAAGGGTAGCAACTACTGAGCCAACTTTCCAAAATTAATCCTTAATCAAGGTATTCAATGCAAGTTTATAATAATTGCGAAAAGTGGCAAAAATCGTGTGTTTGATTCTAATACTTAATGCAGAATGCTCTTGACCCACGGGTAAAAATGTGACACAGATAAGGGGAAAGGAATGTGACCGGGATTTATCAAAAATGGATTAGGGGTCAAGTTCACGAAACATTCAAAATAGGAAAGGGACAATAGGCAACACAATTAACATACAAGGATTTAATGAGATTAACGTTACAACATGTCATTCATTTCATTCACTCTTAAGGGCGGAGTTGCTGCCCTGTCACTAGATGAACCACCATCGCCCCACAATAGCACAAAAACATCTAATGTTGTTCCAATGTATATCTTTTATGGATATCCATGATATCCATAGGATATCTAATGTACATCCATATGTCCGCTCAATATCCAGTATTTTTTAGATATCCATTAGATATCTGAAGTGGACATCTATTAGTCTTACAATAATGATCCATAGGTGGTCATTAAGAAACAAAATTGCCAAATTTTGACTTTATTGGTTTATTTTAAATTAAGCTTATTAAAATAACAACATAAAATGTCTCCAGCAACTATTCCACTTGTTTCTTCTGCCTAAAACAAAATTACATATTATGTATATGTCAATTAGTTAAAATTTATTATTGTATATAAACCAAAATATCATGATTCAAGAAAGTTTAAAAAATTTGGAATTCGATAAATTTTGGAAAAGTTGAATCATATTTTTTTATTTTCAGAAAATATAATGGGCAATCACCTCTTAGTACCTATTAAAGCACTTTTCATATTTTTGTTGATTTTCAAGTGACAAAATACAATTACCGATGGGTATTAGGACAATGCCTTTCATCTACCTAGTAAGTTAAATAGTGATTTAACTTACTTATTATTGTTGTTCCTAGTACCCGCATGGCGCAGCCAATTCTTTATACATTCAATGATGTCTTTATCAGTAGCATTTATGGCAACATTGTTTTTTCGAACAGAACCTAAAAGATAAATGATCTAAAAGTTATACTTTAAGTTTACAGACTTAAAATAACAGTCGCTAGGTTTAAGTTTGACATGGCCTTCTTTTTTTTTTGGCACCTAACCAACTATATGTCGATGCAAGTTCGTCAGTAAATAGACGTCGTAAAATAAGTTTAGTTACTTCATCTAATCTATAACCGCCAATCCTGCCCAGGTAATCAATCTAAAAAAATATGGCATTCAAAAACATGTAAAAGTAAAATTAATCTTACTAGATCATTCTTATGCTCCTGCTTTTCTACTTTTTCCTCCATTTTTAAGATATCATTATGACTTGATAAAGGAAAATCTTTCGCATCAAAGTCTGTTTCTATAGTTTCCTTGTTATCCTTTGGCATATGTTTCTGCCTTTCAATAAACTGTTGCACTTTTGATAGTTTCAACTTAATAGATGCCAACTCAGACAATACTTTCGCTTTAAATTCTAAAAAAAAAACTATTACAGCCTATTAAGAAATACCAAATTTTTACTATCATCCGTCAATGAACACACTTTCTGTTGGGTTAAAGTCTCATCACAAACATTTACACGTGTGCGTGACATTTCAGTATGGGATGTTTCTATTCCAGGTGTTGTGGTACTTCTTAATAGTACGGACCGAGACGACAGCATGGAACGAGACGGTGTAGAGCAGGATGAAGTAGAAACAGATGGTGAATGCTGACTAAAGTTTCGTGCAGTTGTTTTGATTTTGGGAAATGGTTGAATACCGCTTAGATGTTTTGTGCTATGTGGGACTTTGGTAGCTCTCGAAATTAGTTTCAGCTTCAGAGGCATAAGGTAGTGGAGGTTTACGAACTTGAGTATTTCCCGAGGTATTTCCAATTTCTTCACCATGTGATGAGACATTATCACCACTTGTACCACGTGCAGCACGTCTATCCGCTTGCGTAAAATTATCTGCAATGCCTACATCCACATTAATTTTGGAATGTGCATATTTAAATAACTTACCACAACGTGAAAGTATTTTAACTTTATAGCTGGGCCATGTAGATGAAGGTTCTACAGCAGTTTTTTCCCTTTCGGCCTTGAGTGGTGTTGAAGTGAAGGTTTGTAGGGTGAGTAGGCTCAAAAGTCAGACTTCGTTTAGTTTTTTATTTAGGAATCCAAATATTTCGAACGCAGTTTGCTGTCCTTCCTCAGTGGGACCACTGGTAAAAGGTTAACGATTAGCAAGATAAAATTACATAAAAAGACAGGCTTACAATTGTGTGCACTAAACACGTCGTTAACAAAATGGTGGACCCCCTCCATTTCTTGGTGAACAAATACATCAACAAATATTGAACAAGACACATTAAAATTTTGGGTAACACATCAATTTGATCTAAAATTAAATACATAACGTCATAATTAAAATCTCGAAATTACAATTCAATTTACCTGACCCCAAACATATAAAATATCAGGACATGATGTACACACATGAAGTCATTAAAATGCACTGATTGCTAATTGAGGAAAAGTTTTGGACAATTTACAGAAAAAGAGAATGAAACGCCATCGTAAAAATCGCGGCTTCGGAATTCGAGGCTCGTGTAAAAATTTCGTGAAAATCGTCAGAGCCGATTTAAAATTATTTACGAAAAGGTCGAATTTGAGTTGTTTCCTTATTGTAATTATAACTAGATCGGATTGGAGCTCGCGTCGCTCGCTCCTACCGATCACGGCGTTTTGTTATCACACGCCGTTTTTTGTGGTTTTCAGTTTGTAAATTTTTTGTTTAGCTCGACCGTTGTGCGATTGTAGTTTGGGTTGTTTGTAAGTGATGTTGGAATTTTATAAAATGCAAAAAACAAAGGAAAAGAATTTTGATTCGGCTCAAAAAAGCACCAATATATCGATAGTCTTTTTTTTTTAGTCAAACTCGGCGTATGTGTGGGTAAAAATGCTACGCATTTTAAGACTTCGCTAGAGTGAGTATATTTTGCAGAGATATCGCCGAAAATGGGGATAAGTTTTTTAGAACATCACTTATACAAAGTAATTTTTTTAAAATTTCGATTCAACTTGTTAAATCCAGATCCGCACATAATTGTACATAAGATTCTTTAATTTTGATAACATTTTTTGGTTGTAATAAGACATACGCTCAGTGTGATTTGTAACGGTGTATAGTTCGGCTTCGCCTCGTACTGGTTACTGTTAGACAATTTTTCAGTTTCAGTTTTGTTGCGGTAAGAAAATGATATTGAGCAAATTGAATTGACATTTTTTTTGTATTTGTGAAGAATATTTTTGTTTTTTGGAAACATATGCAAAGTTTTTCGAAAATTTCGATTCAACTTGTTGTTTCCAGTTCCTAACATAATTGCACATAAGATTTTTTTAAATTTTGGTTAACACTTTTTGGTTTTGAAGAAAGGCCTCACTATAATTCGTAACGGTGCATAGCTTGGCTTCGCCTTGCATTGTTCACTGTTCAACAAAGACAATTTCTCAGTTTCAATTTTGGTGCGGTAAGAAAATGCTATTGAGCAGACTGAATAAACATTTTTTTTAATTTTTGAGGAATATTTTGGTTTATTGAACAATAATTAGCTTCATTTATAATTTTTGTTTGAATTTGTCTTTTAAAATAGTTAAAAAAATTGTCTTAAATCTACAAATAACCTAATGTCCCAAGCGAAGGGATGGTCTGTGATGCCGAACTCGTCCTCGGCTCGTTTGGAATTGATGTGAAAAAGTGTAATGTGCGATTGGCCATCGGTAAATGTAGTTTGCCACCCTGGACGTAGAGAGTCTAAGGGAGGGCCATTGGTATGAGACGTGTGTGTTAAGAATCGAAAGTCTTTGATTATGTTACTTGGTTGGGAAAATGGTTATTAAAAATTTTTGTTTGAATTTTTAGTTCAAAGTTAAAAAAAATTTCATAAATCTACAAATAACCTAATGTCCAACGCTGCTTGTTGTCATATTCAATTTAGTTTCATTTTTTGTTTGAATTTGTATTTCAAAAAAGTATATATATAAAAGATTTGCACTGTTCAACAATGATAATTTCTCAGTTTCAGTTTGGTAAGAAAATGCTATTGAGCAGATTGAATTAATATTGAATTTGTGAGAAATATTGTTTATGAAAACATCACTTACACAGTGATTTTTTAATGAAAATTTCTTATTCAAATTGTTGAATCCAGATCTGCACATAAGATTTTAAATATTATTATTGTACTATTGGGTTATCACAATTAGGATTTTTTTTTAAATAACAAACGCATTAGGTAATATTATCTTCCGTAAGATCAATATTGAATTCCATGTGTGAATCGTACTGTAGTCTTCTGTTTGCTGTTCATTATAATTTGTAGTAGCCTCATAGCGTTTTCGACTTACTGCAACTTTTTTACATGTTCGACTATAATAGCTAGCAACGAATGCAATTTTACGTCCTTAAGTCGAACAGATATAAGAAAGTTGCACTGTGGTAAGTCGAAAATAATGCAGACGTAGTGTGCACTAATGCAGTAAGTCGAAAACGCTATCAGATGATATTGTATAAATAGTAGGTAAAATAAAAAACAATAAAATAAATATTTAATTATATATTCTATAAATATTTATTCGTTGGTCTATCGCACAAAGGTGTTAAGTGAAAAATATGTAATATATACTTACAAAAATAACTAAAATTTAACATTTCAACATTTATTATCCCTCTCTTGTTCTGGGCCCTCAACAGGCTTGCACCCAATTACAGAGTGACTCGCATAATGCTTGTTAGAGGTGTATTAATTGTTGTATCATTTAAAATAAGTTTTGTTTTTTAACGAATTATTTTTTTTTAACTACACAACTGTTTGATAATACAATTGAAAAAATTTGAATAAACTGTTTGATAATACAATTGAAAAAATTTGAATAAACTGTTTGATAATGCAATTGAAAAAATTTGAATAAACTGTTTGATAATACAATTGAAAAAATTTGAATAAACTGTTTGATAATGCAATTGAAAAAATTTGAATAAACTGTTTGATAATGCAATTGAAAAAATATTACTTAACACCTGTGTACGATAGACCGACGTATTAAATTTATAGAACTTATAACTTTTATTAGGTAGGTAATTATTATTTACCTAATAAAAGTTATAAGTTCTATTATCATAGTATTTGTGTAACCCCGCCCACCTCTAAAATTATTAAATCGTCCTCCTCTTCCTCTTCCTCTTCTTCCATTGAAATTTCCTCTTCTCCCCCTTACTTGCCCCCTGTAATTGTTCCCTCCTCCTCTCTTGCTCACCTCCCAATCTCTTTGCTTTCTTTTCTGTAAAATTTATATGTATAGTAATTTTTAAATTAAAAAAAATATAATTTTTAATATAAGTAATTGTTTTTTTTACTTAATTTAATTTTGTTAATAATTAGACTATAATTTATTTATTAAACACACAGTCAAGTCCCTATCAATAAATTTTGGTTAATGTAATAAGACATTCGTTTTGCACTCATCAAATTATAGAAATTGGGAAATTTAAAAATTGCATGTCACATTGACACGATTAAGTTATACTTAAGGCTACCTACATGTTTTGAATATTAGCCTTTTAACATATAACAGTAGTTTTGCATTATTTATTCAGGTAGGTACTTATAAAAATCATATGTGAATTTATAATGTACACATGTTATAGTACAGGGTGTTTTTTTAAAAAAGAGCCATACGACAATGTCAAGGCGTAGAGTTATTTAAAATGGGCCATAGGGAAATTTACATTATATCATTATTTACGGTAATCCTTTCTTGTTTCCTCGCAAATTATATGTCACAGTACTGTAGAAATTGTTTCTGAATCAACAAATTTATTCAGATCAGATATAAACGTATAAGATTGCAGTCGGTGTTCGAATTATTTTTCATCGGCAATCAAACAATACCCGATACTCGGCACTGAACAGCTTGCATACCACTCAGCTATTGGGCCCACTTTTGTAGGAATTGTATAACATGAATACTTTTTCGAACAGCAAATACATTTTTCTGCTTTGTTGATGCAGGGTTGAGATAGAGAACTGTTTGTGAAATGACTAAGCGTAAGGTCAAAATTTGAGAACAATTGGCGCAATTTAAATTTCTCTATGGCCCATCTTTAAAAAAACATCGTGTATAAGGTACAAAAGAAATGAAAATTATTACAATGAAGAGATATTGGTCTTAAAAGTTTTCAAATTTGATTCCAAATATTACAATCTACGTTATAGTTACCAACCTTTTGAATAGCGTAAATCCTTCAAAAAAACTATTTTGTTTGTTTTAATAAAATTAATAGGAAATTGAGGTAAGTGAGATAAATACAAAACGCAAGGATAGATTTGATATTATGGATGTTAATTCAGATACAGTAATTATGAATGAAATGGTCGTTTGTTATAGGTTTAGAAAATTTGGTCAATAAAAAATGTTCGAATTTTTTGGGAGGAGCTTAACTGCATCTGTAGTGTGATGTGAACAAATAATATATATTAATTACCTGACCTCGCGACTCCACCGCATCGGTTTCCGTCTAAAAATAAGATGAAAACGGTATAATTTTATAAATATATAGCTACAGTAGACCTTCGCCAATTCGAACAGGATGAAAGTGTATTATAGGTACGTTATTTTGTAAAGTAAAGTAAAGTAAAGAATAATTCGAACAACAGTGTCAGTATTGTACAATTTTTTCATCGAAATGTGATTACATGATGGGCATTTTGATAATGATGATATGCATTGTTTAGATTTAGAACAATTGTTGTGTTTTGTTTATTCTATTTTGTATCATTTGTAATTACAATTATTTATTTCTTAATAAGTAATTCAGAATAAAATTTTATTGTTATTTTTGTTAATTCGAAAAATTCATTCACTCAAATAATCTCACATCCGGATTAGGTCGGATCGGCAAGTTTCTATTGTAGGTACCTATTGGTGTATGATAAAATGTTTTGCGTGTAAAAATGAAATCACGAAAGATATACTATACAAGTTTTATGTTGAAATTTGATGTCGTATTCTTTATGATTGTCCAAAAATATTTATACTTAAGAAATACAATAGGTATACAACTTGTGGAAAAGATCAAAATGAAATGAAATTAAAAAAATTGTAGAATTTTAAATTTGTATTGTATTGTAAATTTGTTGAATCTTGTAAATTAAAAAAAGTGTATGTAAAAAGTTTAAAAATATGTCTATTTTTTTAATTTACTTAATTCAATTAATAATGAAATTAGATTTTTTTTATATAGATTTGGCTTCGACTGTTTAGTCTTTTCGCTATTCATAGGTTCCAGTTAGATATTATTTACTTACTCGTTCAGATTCGTGTTGACTTTCTATAAAAAATTAAAGTATTAATTTTATTGAATTTTAGAAATGAATCAATTATGCTTACCGTTAACTTGTTCTTCTTCAACCTAAAAATTAAATGGAAATAGTATATTATAAATATATAACATTGTGTTTATGTGTAAAATAAAAGTTGCATGACAAAGAATTAAAATTGAAAAAATGAAAGCATCGAAAATTTTTTGTTTCTAATTTCTCATGTTGAGAGTTGAAGTTTTATAAATTAAGTGAAATACTAATACTGGGTATGAAGATCTTAGAATATGTATAACTTTAAATTTGTATTGTTTTATAGAATTAATTGGCAATGTGGCATTTTCTGAATATTGTCACATATTTTATATTTATATAAACAATGTGGTTGAAGTGAAATTGGTATTATTGTTAATTGTGTCATTGCAGTTCAATTAAAAAATATAAAAGTTGTGTATTGCGATATTAAGATATATGATAAAAGTAACTTTTTTATGGAACATCCTGTGTATGCGTATGTATTTTATAAAAAACAAATTAAATAATGGTCAACACTAATTACCAATATTATGAAATTAAGGACATTACAATCAATTAAAGTTTTCTATTTGTATAAAATGGTGACAGTTGATATTTTAATGATAAGAAGAAATATGTTAAAAAGTTTAAAATATTTGACATAAATTACTGTGGTTGTAATAATAAAGGAGTTACAAGTTGTAAAAATTTTTGTTTTAAATTTTATGATTCTCAATTTGTAAAGGTTAAGTCTAGTTTTATACTTTTTGGTATATTTTACGTGTTTAAGTATTACCAGTTTGTCTTTGGAATAAATTTAAAATTTTAAATATCATTTATTGGTAGTTAGGTGTTGATTTCACTATATAAATATTTATAATTATTGATGGTACATTACCTCCGTTGTTTGCCTGGTGTTGTTGTCGCCGTCGTCGGCGACAGTTGCCGTGTTTGCTGCGGTTTCTTCAGTTTTTATATTATCATTAATATTTATACATCATTATTTTATTAATCAATTTCTTACCGTTTTGCATCTAAAATTTAAAATAAATATATCAATAGAATACTTAAACAAAAGATGGATATATGTATGTATTTAGGTAGATATGTAAAATGGTTTAATTTTTTTAATGAAAATAAATTTAACACAATTTGCCTAAATAATTTTTGATGTACGTATATCAAATGGCATCATTGTGTTTTTCGTTTGTTTATATACTTTTCCATGACGTATATTGAGGAAAGCTGCAATTTTTCAAAATAAAGTACTTTCTTTGTTTGTTAAAATTTCTAATGACGATCTACATTAATATAACAAATTTCCATAATAAAACATTTAACAAAATAGTTTAAATTTATAAATAATTTTGTATGAAACATATGGTTGTATTATACCGATTGAATATTTTAAAACCGAATATAGGTAATTACTATGAAAAAAGGGTTTTTTGGTGATCGTCACTATCCACATTAACTTAGAGGGTTCATAATTAGGAATGGGCGATAACTGTTTTCACCTATCAATAAGTATCGGGTAGTTACCTATTGATATATTTTACTTATCGATATGCCGATAATTATCGAAATATCGATGGTTATCGATATATTGCTACCTATCGATAACTATCGAAATATCGATAGTTATCGATATTTCGACAGTTATCGATATGTTGATAGTTGTCGCTAGGGATGGGCAATAGCTGTTTTCATCTATCGATATAAGTATCGGGTACTTACCTATCCATATATTTTACATGCCGATGATCATGAATAGGTATGGGAATTTTTTTCGATATATCGATAGGTATCGATAGATCGATTTTTTTAGCTCTACCTATTGTTTTTCGATATATCGATATCTATTGATATATTGAAAAAAATTCCCATGTCTATTCATAATGATACGTATCCAAAGATGATTTTTTTCTTATCTAATGATATACAAATTAGTTCATTTTCAGTTGTAGTTATCATTATTTTATTAATAATTCAGCAATTGATCCAATTAATAAAATTATGTTAACCATGGAAATTTTCTAAAGAATTGAAATAGGTTTTGACACAGACGGAATGGGCGTTTATTAAAGTGAACGGAAAACAAATATCGCGTAAATATTTTGAACAGTTGTCATAAACTGATATTGATTTCGACTTGATTAACGTTTGAATCTGATTTTTGTTTTACTAGTCATGGCTATATGATTTTGAAAAACAATTATGAAATTTTGCGAAATATAACCTCACTTTCGACGAAATGAATTGAACTTTTAATTAAGATTGTGGAGGGCCCCTTCCGCAGATTTTTTTATTGAAGACGCTTCGTTAAGTTGCCTTTTATCCATTTCTATCAATTTAATGATCGTACATGGGGGGGCTTATTAGCGTTACGTAATCTTATTTTGTTCGTATAAACGAAATTAATGTACCTACTGTATAGAAAAATTTGCAATTGGGGGGAAAATTTTACTTTAGTGATGAGGTTTGGCCGTTTTTTTCGACTAATTGCATCGTATTAGTGTTGAAAATTTAAGCTTTTTTAGAATAATAGAAATAAATTTTTACCTTGCAGAGCTGATGGACACTTCAACACTCAACAGGGTGTGGCTTCAGGTTCGAAATGAAGTTTGTGCTTTTATAGTTAAAGATGTCAAATGATTGATATTTACCTAACTTTACTCTTTTGAATTTTTTACGAGTAAACCATAGAATAATTCTGCAATAATTAAAATAGTTGTATTTAATAAAATCATAACCTCTTGAGTACGTGATGTTAATAAGTCCCCCAGGTATGATCATCAAATTGATAGAAATAGATAGAGATCACCTTAGTGATACGTTTTCAATTAAAAAATTTGTGGCAGAGGTTTTAAATTTTCCACAATTTTAATTAAAAGTTTAGTTTATTTTCTGGAAATCTGGTATTATTTTATGTCTATTTCGTCATACTTAAGTTGGCGAAATTGAAAAATTTTATGTGACAGTTATTAATTTATAAACAAATGTGAGTTTTATTGGAGGTTATGTTAACTTCTTCGTCTACAAAATTGAAATATCCTGGGTTTAACGTGTATATTAACAGTTTTTAATGTAATGAAAGTAGTATAATAGATATAATATACAATACAATTTAAGGTTTCGTTCGACAAATAAGCGATACTTCCATGTTACTTGTGGATACACTCTAATAACACCACTTTAAGAAGTGTATACAGTTTAATCTCTTGAATGCGTTAGGGAAGAAAAATATCGCAGAAAGTGATAAAGATCGATTTCTTTGTATCGATCACCGAGGGGGGAAATCCGGACGTATTTTTGATGGATCGCCTGTATAGTGATCATCGATTAATTTGAAACGTTTTTTTTGTATAAATCGCTGCTTAGTATACACAGCCTTATACGGTCGAGAGGGAGAGGAATATCTTTTTCTACTACTACCTTAGAATCACGTCATACTTGCTTCTTTTTTAACAACAGAATCTCGCCTATTCTCTGCTAGTGAAGTGGAATAATTTCATTCTAGCTCTTGTGATGGTGGAATGAGCACATGTGGCGACATCTAAAACAGGACATCCTAAACCACAATTCTTAAACTGTCAAAATTTTAATTACGCTTGCGCCAGATATTAAATTTTAAGGACCGGTAGCGCGAAAATGAATAGCAGTGGCCAGTGAGGATTTAATGGAACTTTCAAATACTCCCCCGGAAATCACCGTGGAAGCAGAACACGCAAAAAAATTTACTTCCGGACAAACTAAAAGTGTACGAACATACATACAGCAAATTTTTGGAGTGGAGGACAAGAAAAAAACCAACTCATTTTCAGAGAACGTAGTGCTGACTTACTTTAGCAAACTATCACAGGAAATTAAAGCATCCATATTGTGGAAAACGTATTCCATGCTGTGCTCTACGATACTTTTGAACAATAATGTAGATATAAGCAGCTATGCTAAGTTGCAGGCCTTGTTAAAAACGCAATCCAGCGGCTATTTCCCTAAAAAGTCAAAAATTCTATCAACGAGCAAAGTAAAAATGTTTATTCAAAAAGCAACCCCGACAGTTCATATCTACTATAACATTACACGTTCAAATCGTTACTCGTTACATCATATCTATTTTACATTTACAGGTTGCTCTTATAGTTGGCATTAGTGGTGCTTGTCGTAAGCACGAATTGTGGAACATAAAAATCGGTGGACTTAGGTGGAACTGTAATTAGAATACCCAATACGAAAACTAATGTACAACGAAAGTTTACAATTACGAGGGACCCGTACGTTGGTATACCTACAACCAAACATCAAGTTGCATATTCTACAATGAATTAATGTACCTCACTGCACTATACAAAAAGAACATCCATATCCAAACAGTTAACGTTGTTGGTCATCCAGAACACATTTCCTCCAGGAAGTTTTAAAACTAACCTAAAATATAATGCTCACTAAAATGTTACCTACACTCGTAGATACCTTACATACAAATTTTTCGAGTAGTGCTATGATGTTTATTTCTAATTTGCATCCATAACGTCCTCTTTGTAGCATTTTGTATTTGAATTTATACACATCATGAATTACATTCCGGTCGCAATCTCGAATACGTTTATCGCTTATGTTTATCTAAATCTAAATGATCCACGCCGATACACTGCGCAGGACAGGACACATTCAATCAATGTGCACATTTGTAAATAATATCACAGAAAAGTTAGTATTCCTTTTCTGGGATAATATTGAGGGAAGAGAAATTGTCGAGGAATTTGTTTATACAGCCATTTAGACAAATATCTGTCAAATATGCCACAGGGATCTGTTATACCAACCCACCGTACATAGACGTCCATGATGATACTAATGTGTGAATTGTCTATAGTTAACCCTGCTTGTTTTACATATTTTGCAAAAATTCGTCGTAGTAGTAGAAAAAATTATGTCTATTACTTGTAAGGAATAGGTATTCAACGCTCGTGGAACCGTCACACTCGCCTTCGGCTCGTGTGACGAACTTTCCACTCGCGCGGAATACACTCTATTCCATACTCGTTATAGAATATACTATTCGCAGTTTCCTTAAAAAAAACGGGTCACCCCTAATCTTACGACTCATTCGGTATATGTGTTTTTATAAATATGCATAAATGTATATAATCTATGGTTTACGATTTTTTGTCTGTCATTTCGATTATTGGTAAACATCATCGAATACAGTAAACGTCAATAACTTTATAAGTAGGTAAGTACTATTTATTTATACTTTACATTATGTACACAAAGTAGTTATTTATGGTAAAAAATGATGATGGCATTGTTTATGTTGAATACAAAACTTTTCGTAGGTATATTATTATAAACTTTTCTTGTATCAGCTTACGATAGCATTGTGGTTGATTCTAACACATTAATTAGGTGAAGTATACTCTAAGGTTGGTTACATACGTGTGGGATAAATGGATCTATTACTAGGTCGGTGTTGTTTTATAACTTTTCATACACTTTATCGATTTTTTTTTATCTAGTCAAGTATCGCTATTTGCACATTATTATGATATCGGTTTTGTACCGGTGGCATCGTTGAGTTTAGCAAATAAGGTGAAGGGGATATTTGGAGTAATCTGGTTTAGAAGAAACCCCTTTTGAGGACGTTTTACATTTGATTTATTAAAACGTGAGCAACAATTTGTAATACCATTTGATCACAGTATATTGTCGACACGGTATTTGAGTATGTATTAATACAATTCCGTAATGTATTATGTATGGTCGTCTTTGACACCAGATGATCCAGCGTACGTGATTGGCAAATATTTATTTGCTAAGAGTTAATTCTTTGGTGGGCATGTCTTGAAACGGTGTGTACTAATTTCGGTAACAGTACCATTTAGCTTGCATTTGTAAAACCATACTAAAGAATATTTGTAGATCTTGATGACTGCTGTTTTTATATTTTTTCTCTTAAAATAGTTTTATAATAAAATGAAATTTAAAATATGCTTTATACGATAAATACATATATTTAATAAGTTATGATTTGTGAATGTTGTACTTACCCGAGTTGAAATATATTGTTAAAATAGTTTATTGAAATGTTTAAAGTAGATAAGAGATTTTTGGAACAAAGGGAGAAATCATAAATACTTTTAGATCCACTTTGTTCGAGACTTAATTATTTGAATCTTATGAGAGTGTACGAAACGCAAGTACAGCTTAAAACTGTGGTGCATGATTAGAATACAACTTTGTGTATTTTTAAAATTGGAGTTTCACCTAAATACATTTCATGAAGTTTTGGTCTTGAAATGTGTCACTTGAGTTCAAAGGTTTTTTTTCATAATAAATTTGTTTGTAATAGTTATATATCCAATTTGGTTAATTGTTTGTTTTGTGTTAGATAAAAATGGCTACATTTTTTGGATTGGGAGACAGTGTTTTGAGAAGAGTGCTGGTAGAGGGACAAGGTGTCTCTACTAGTCGAATTTATGGCAAGCTCGTCGTGGACTTGTGCATCGGCGGGCAAACGATTTCGCAATTGAGAAAAAGAGTCGAACGCTCACGAAGTGACGAATCGGAATGGTTTGTGCCTAGAAATACGCCTCTGGTCGTTTTGATAGGAACCAACGATATTTTAAGAAGTGGCAGAGCTTCTGTTGTCTTTAATAATCTTAAACGGTTATTAATTACATTGGAAAAGTGGTCGAGGATAACTCCCATCACCTTGTGTACTCTTCCTCCAATAAAGCATGCAAGTCCCGATGTTCGACATCAGTTGCATAAATACAACACGTCGATTAGAACATTGTGTTCTAATCGATGTGATGTATTTAGGCTATTGGACTTGTATGCCTTATTGGACGCGGAGAATTATGAGGGCCACTTTTTCAAACGGTAAGTTTCATTATAGTACATATATTGTTATATTTTAATTTGTTATTTTTAGTGACGGTATTCATCCAAATAGAGAGGGGCTTTTGAGAATTTATGATTCCATAAGTTCCCTCTTTAATTAATGGGTCTCGCATGTTCGGTAAGTGAATTATTTTAATTGAAAAAATATAATAATTGTTTTATTAATTGTAGAGTACATGATAACCGGTTAGGATTATTTTTGGCGATGGAAGACTACCCTTTTTGAAGATCGTTGGGTAAACAAAGTAGTTCCGATTCATTTGAATTTGAATGATCGTTTCATTTTTTTGATTAATTAATCGTTTGGTAACGTAAAAAGGTTTGGATCATCGGTGGGACTTAAATTTCATTCCAGAAGTCAGTTAACAAGGGATTATTTTATTTGGAATTTAAGGGAGGTATTAGCCACCAACCTGGCGAGGTTGCTACCCCTTGTCCGGACGAAAAAAAGGGGTAGTCGGACTCATTTTACGGGCCCTGAATCCAAAGAATACTTGAAAAAGTGCTTTTGCTGTTGCTTTTAAGTAAGTGCACGTCTTAAGAATACATATACCTATGTAGTAATAGCCAAGTAAACTTAAGTAAAAAAATTTGCATTGCCTGCCACGGAAAATCCGGAACAAATGTTACCTACCCGGTAGCTCACTGCTGGTGGACGATGGTCGAGGGCTGCTACAACCACTGCTGTAGGGCGCCACAAGTTTGTAAGGGAAATTCCTCTCAAACTTGAAAGAGGATACACAAAACAAGATAGGAAAATTATGAGATTTATTAGGCACACAAAACGAAGGAAATAAAATTAAATAACTAAAGGTATGATTTTGTTTTCAAATAATAATTGGGTGCTATGGGAATTATGCTTATTACGAATAATAACCGACGGCAACAAGACCAGAATTACTGGCTTTTATACGTATAAACCAGCGGGTGAATGACTTGTGAAAATAAAGGGAGGTTTAAGCAGGCTGCCGTTGGAAGATCTTCCTTACTTGGACCTTGCCAGGTAAGACGCAATATAGTAGTTAAGGTGAAAGCATAGGTCTTGTTTTTGTCTCACAAATATTGTAAATAAGGTAGTTGCAATACACCCCCCCCACACAAATTAATTTGAACTAACAAGTTCTGTTAAATATTGACTACTGTCAAATCTCAATACAAAATACAAATTAAATTATTATGTGCCACTTGGCTTTTGCATTATCAATACCAAAATAATTGAGGGTTAAGGAGGTAAGACAAGATGGAGGATTATGGGAAGGACTAGGATGGGTGAGTAAACTTCAGGTAATAGGAAAGGTCTAACCTTGGTTTGTCTTCAGCCGCCGGTGGAAGTAAAGCTGGTCCTCAGGTGGTATCGGCCCAGAATGGAACAATCGACTTAATATCACTAGGCCTGGATGGACGTTGGATTGCCCTGAAGTTCACGGTGGAGGGAACGATTGACGACACGGGAAATCAAGATGACGATACACAAAGAGCTTCGGTGAGTCCGATACACAATCCAAGTTGTATTTTAATTTCAATCCACTAGGTAGATATGTAGAAAATTAGCAATGTCGCAACGTAGAAATGGCTGCAAAGATTAATTCCTAAGATCGAGCAAGAATATAATAAACTGGTTTACCTCTAAAGATCTTGAACGAGCCGAAGTGTAATATCCATGTGGTCGAATAATCCGCCCAAGTGCGAAAATGAACGCTGGTCCAATAATAGCAGAACCCAATTTGCCAACTAATAATTCCAGCTTCAAAGGAGCCTTTATTCTTAAATAATCCTCGTGATGAGTTGGATCAATTTTAATTAAGAATACAGCTAACCACACTTCAATCTTGCGCGAGAGTTGCAACAGGAAGAGAAGAAGACTTTCACTTTTCCTGGGGAAATGTATAAAAGTGGGGATTCCCCTAATCAATCTCAGGTGACCAAATATTTAAACTTTAAAGATTCCCAACTTTGAATTGCAGGACAAGGAGAAAACCTACATAGAAGAGGATAAGCAGTGATAACAATTTAAATGTGACAATGCAATAAAATATGCTGTCCCGGAGTGAAAATTAAGCGCAAGGAAAATTAGAACGTTAAAGCCTGAAATACAATCTCAAAAAACTACTGAATTCTTAACCAAATAAGCAATTTATACGGTTTCCAAAAAAACCGTCACATGCCTATACTTGGTTTTACATTCAATTAGAGAAATTTAGAGTGGTTCACGTCTGAATCTCACTAACAATGAGAAAAAAACTTCAAATTGCTTCAGTGTAATATTACATAATGCCAAAAAAGTTTCTCAGTTTTCCAGGAACTAAATTTCTGTAGAATCATATTTTTAAGGACTACCACCTATAATTACCAAATCTATTTCAGATTGCTGGAAAAATGGGTGTTGGTAAACGCTGTAGTATAAGCAGCTGTAAAAGTTAAGTTTTTTACGTAAACTAACGATTATAATAAATATAATCTTGTTACTCGTCGTCAGAGTTGCAGTTTATACAAACATAAAATGGGCTTTTGTCTGTGCAGTGTAAATGTGCCCATTCTTTGCATGTTCTGCACTGTATCCAATCTTCTGTGCTCACGGAATATGGTCCAGAACACACTAAACAGAAAGTGTCATCATCGGAAGAATCTGAAAGGTAATAACTTTCTACTCGTTTTTTCTTGACGATTTTCATTTTTTTGTCCCTATTTTTATTAGCTTTCAGACTTGTTGATTTTTTTGTGTCATCTGTGCCAATTTTGCGTTTTACTGGAACTTTTTTCTTTAAATTTTCTTTTTCAATTAAGCTCTTCTCTGGTGTGTGGTCAATATTGCAGTTTTACGTTTCATTCGTCCCCCTTTCTTGGATTTAGAGTGATCTGCTTTAGGCAATGGTTTCAGGATATCAGGTGTAATGAATGCTGTCGGTTGTGATCGTGGCAAAGGAGTAGTCTCTGTGGCTGTCGATGGTCCTGGTTGTGGCGAAGGAGTAGTGTCTCTGGTTGTAGATTGCCCTGGTTGTGGTGAAGGAGTAGTATGCCTGGGTGTCGATGGTCCTGGTTGAGTTTCATTTAAATTGGCAACTTTAACTGTTGCTAACTCTGTTTGGTTTTCATGTTCGGTTTCAAGTGGTCTGTCAGTTACAGTAGATGGTAGAAAATCACAATTTTGGAATATTTCACGGTTAAAAGGCCAGATGCCGGTGCATGAGAAACCAGATAGAATATTAGATGGCGTAGTGGCTAAAGGAAGGGATGCTTTAACAATTGAAGGTAAGTCGTAAATGGTCATGCGCTTTCCTGGATTATTCTTCATCCATTGATCTGCACAGTTATTAAAATACTTTTTAAAAGGACCATATACTCCTCGATCGAGTGGTTGCAGTCGGTGGGAGGTGTGTGGGGGAAACGACAATAATGTAATAAAATTAGCTCTGCAATATTCTATTAAAGAAATCGATACATGTGAAGAGTGATTGTCCAATAAAACTAGAACTTTGTTAGTCTCGCTAGGTTTGGCGTGTTTCACAAAATGATTCATAAAGCCAAGAAACTCATTCTCTTGCATCCATAACTTATTTCCTTTCCCTACGCATCCAATAGGCCCATCTCTAATAAAATGATCTTTGAAATGTAACCGGGGAAATACAAACATTGGTGGAATTGCGTTACCAACTGCATTTACAGCCACACACAGCGTAACAAGTGTTCCACGCTCTTGAGATGCTATTGATCCTACTTGCTTGGTACCCTTTTTGGCTATTACTTTGGTTGGCTTTTGAACCGTAGAGACACCAGTCTCGTCAATATTGTAAATATTTTGTGGTTCAAAACTGTGTCTTTCCAATACAGTTGCCAGTTTATTAAAAAAGTTGGAAACGTTCTCTCTATTGAAATTCATGGCTCGTGCAAGGCTGGTTGCTTGGGGGGTTCGATGTGTTAAATGAGAATTTCTTCTCAGGAAAGCACAGAGCCAATCTTCACTAGCGTGTTCTACTTCATTCCATTTTTGAGGATAGTTAAGCCGGTTAGCAGATGCAAACTGAAACGCTCGTTTACGAAGATCCCTTGTGGTGAGCCCAAAGTACAAATCGACAGTTTTTTCACAGTATTTTACTAGCTGTGACTCCTGCTCAACAGTAAACACCCTGTTGTAAGGATTGTATCCTACCTTAGGCTGTAAATTATTACGTAGAGCATTCACAAAGCGATTTAATGAAACATGGCAGATACCATAACACTTAGCCACTTTTCTAACAGATTCCTCATTATCAATCACCCTTCTGGCTGCTTCTTCATAAATTACTGTAGGTATCAGTCCCCTTTCGGTCTTCCTTGGTCTTGGTTTCACCATTTTTCAAAGCGAACTATAAAGAAGAAAATATTTTACTAAAAAAAGTAAATGCAGGTGTCAATTGTAACACGTTACAATCGACACCCTATAACCTTAAAATGTACTGTTGACATTTTTGTATTTAGGAAAAACAGCAAATCGCTACCCATTGAAAAATAAAGCAAAAACTATACCAAAGTATACCCTTACCATGAAATATTGCCAATGTAAACACTTTGAACTTCAATAAACAATTCTTGTGCGACAATTCTTGTCGCCACGTTTCTTTACTTTTTCAGCAGTTTATTAAAGTCTGTCTATAAAATGAGCGCCGTGCAGGCAGGATGCATTGTAACTAATTACCACACAGCCGGGTCGCTTTCTGCTTTGTCTCACACGCCGGTTTCAATATAATTGAAAGAGATGACGCTGTTATCGGTCATGTTACTTTCGATACCTGTTACAATCAACACCGGTCTCCCCTACTCCTGATTGTTGCTTAAAATATCATTAAAATAACAAACACAAATATGCAAAAATAACTCTTTGCTATTAGTATTATTACCAAATGCATATGGTACATGAGAATTGTGTGGTGGGCGGTGCTTACAGAGTATACGGACCGTGGGTGCAACTGGGCATTACCGCATTAGTCTACTAGGCTAACTATACATATACATATCCATAAATATTTACTTTTGGCATTTGCATGTGTAAATGTTTATTATTTTATATATTTGAATATATATGTATTGCTGTGATATTTCGTCTGGCAGGACGAAATTTTGGGATTCTTAACTAGAATGGACAAGGGCGGTTTCAATGTAATTAATTTTTTTAATTTAAATTTTTGTTTTGTATCGTTCGTTAAGTACTTCAACAGAAATTATTGTTACGAAAAAGAGGTCAAGGTTTGTATTGTTACATTTTAATCTCATTTTTGATTTTATTTAACATAGATTTCTGAGAATTTTATATCGCTTTTATTCTGTTATCATTGTAAACGCTTAATTTAATTGACAGGTGGATGCTATTTATCGCCTTTTCATTGTATTTAAAAGATAGAAAATTCTATTTTTCCTAGTATTTTAATTTTGTGTTATCTCTTAATGTCGGTTAAAAATTGATTATAAAAATAATTTCTACCTCTAGTTTAATTTACGTTAGTGGGGAAATTTTCTGTTGGCAACTGCTTTTCATTGGCTGTTTTAATTTGTAATTTTGGAAGAAGGGTTTCCACCTTAAATAGAACGGACTGAGAAGAGGAAGGGCTTTTTGCCAGAGTTAACGCAGAACTACGTTTCTTTGTTTGGAAATTTAAAGGGCTTTTTGCCAAGTTCAGAGCGGAACTACGTTTGTTTGAGATTGAAATCAGCATTTTGTTGAAGTTTAAAGTTTGTTTTGGGAGTTTTGAAGTTTTTATCGTCAGTTTGTTGCCAGTCAGGGCAGTTTTTGGTTTGAGTGAAGTTTGTTTATTTCGCTTCGGCGAGTTACCGCAGTAGTTTGGATTGTGTAGAGGCAGCCAGTTTTGGAAGTTGGTGGAGTTTTCGTTTTACGGAGTGGCGAACCGAGTTGCGGTAGGATTGTTGTGGCGGCAGTTTTGGAAGTTTGGACCTTCAGTAAAGTGCGTCACTAAGGTGTGGTCGGCGCCGACTTGAGTGTTTTTTTTGTAATTTTGAAATTTTGTTGTTTGTGTGTTCCGTATATGGGATTAGCAGTTTTGGACATGTACCGAATGTAAGTAAGATTAAGTTTTAATTTTAGTTTTTTTCTTTGTAATAATTGTTTGTTTTCCTTGTTGTTTTTTTTTATTGTGTAACCATTAAAACTGAAATTTGTAATTCTCACATTAATTTTTGTGTTTGTCTTTCGAACGATTTCATTTCCTTTAATTTACTGTTTTCTTTGAATACTTGCCCAAGGTCCATTTTATTTAATCAAAATTGTTAAGATTGATTTGGAATTTAAGGTATTTTGTTTAACCCACTATCTGAGAAAAGAGTCGAATTCCTCCTCTGTGCTGGGGAGAAGTTTTGTTCCGGGAGGGATAAAGGTTTGAGATAGCTAGGTTGGTTTAGGTGTTTTGTGTACGGTCTTTTTGGCCAACGGACCGGTGCACACAGCAGTATTTACTCTGTTTAGAATGAGATAT